GGTTCCCGGGCTCTGTCGCGCGCCCCGTCACGGCCTGGTGGCAGGAGGGTGGTGTCACGCCACAGGGGAGGTTCGCGAAGCCACTCTACTGGGGATCGAACCCAGGGCCTCGCGCTTGCCGTGCAGGCGCGGCGCCACTGAGCTACATCCCCGGATTGTAAAGCGGGCCTGGAAAATTCTGTCAGCTCTCAGGCTTTCAGAGAACTGACGCTGCTTCAGCAGCGGGACATCTGCGGAGAGCGAGCAGGGTCGGCCACGGTGTGGACGCGAACTTTGAAATCAGCCCCACAGGCACTTTTTCGTGTATCACCCCCTGTCCAGGAAGATGTTTGCTGGTTAAGATTTGGGGGTCTCAAGCCAAACGGAGTTCTAAAGAAACAGGTTATCCTTTCTGGACTTCAGTTTCCTCAGGTCCGAAGGATCAGTGCTGAGGTGTGGCTCAGGAGTAGAGCACCTGCCTAGCACTTGTGAGGCCCTGGGTTCCATCCCCAGCACCAGGAGCGTTCACACACAGAGATGGGGATAATACTTAACACCTCTCACAGGCCTGTTGCGAGGTTTGAGAGAGGGTGCTTGTAAGTCACCCAGCACATAGCTCATGTGTAGTCAAAATGGTCAAAAATCCTCCTTCAAAAAATTCACAATACAGGAGTATGGGGGAAAAATGAGAACCAAGATCTGTCATGTGAAGGTACAAGATCCCAATGATGAATGTAACTGTACTGTATACTTAAAAAGTGCCGGTAAACTCAGTAAGAAAAAAAATTCAGTGTCATCTTACAGTGAATCCTTTTTGAGGTCAGGAACCCCTTTGGGGATTTGATGAAAGCTTTTCCTTTTTTTGTGGTCCTAGGATGGACTCCAGGGCCTTACACATGCTAGGCAAGTCTTCTACCACAGAGCCACATCTCCACCCCCACTTGTTTCTTTTTTATTTTTGGGGGTGGTTCCGGAGATCAAACTTGGGACCTTGCACTTGCAAGGCAGGCAGTGGCACCACTGATCTGAACGCCTGGCCCCTCTTTATTGTTTTGAGACAGGGTCTCACTAGTGCAGCCTGGTCTTATACTACTGTGTAGCCCAGGCTGGCCTGGAACTCGAGACACTTCTATCTCAGCCTTCTGGGTGCTGGGATTACAGGTGTGCATCACTGCCTACGTTTTTCTTGGTGTTTGAAACTCCAAGTGACTGCACGAGTGTGTGATAGTGTAAGGGTGAACCCACCGAGGCCACCCTTGTCTCCCCCACAGTGCTGCCCAGGCCCTGGACCTCTGTGTTCCCCTTGAAGACCCAGGACACACAGTAGAGCAAAGACCAACTTTATTATTGGTATGAGAGCAGGGAGGCACTGCTGCAGCAAGGGGCAGAGGGCACACCTGCCGGCATTGATGCCCGAGGCCCAGGGCCCCAGGTGCTTCTGGCTTTCAGAGGGCCGGGTGTGGATATGTGGACTGCTCAGGGCTGTTCTGGAGCTGGGGTAGGGCTGGGGTTGGCTGGGGGTGAGGGCCGGGGCTGGATGTCCCTGGTGCGCATGTAGGACAGCAGCTGCTCTGGGATCTCAGCCAGCACATCCTTAGCCAGTCGGGCCATGCTCAGAACCTGGTTCCCTGAGCGGTCCACGTAGTCTCGGAATGGGACAAACTAGGACCACCAGATAGGAAGGTGTGGGCTGGGGCCCGGGGAGGAGGGCAGCAGGAGGCTCCATCTTCACTCCTCACCGCCACTCCTAATAACCCTCTCTCTCGCTTGATCTTCGACTGTCCGCTCAAACTGCCTTGTGATCACCTTGGTAGCCCTAGTTGCTAAGGAGCCCCGTGGGCAGTCACTCTGCGTGCTCACCTCGCTGTGTCTGCAGCTTTCTGTTACATGCAAACCTGATACTCCAGGATCTGTATCCCTCTCAACACTGTGAGTTTCAGGTTGTTCTTTTGCCTTTCTGGATGCTCCTCTCCATGGTTCCCTGACACCCAACTTGCTTTCCAAACCCAGTCCCTGCACTCTGGGCTGTCTTTCTGGGCAATTTCATACTCTTGTGATTTTTAAGACTGTCTCCTCGGAGGGAGGAGAGGGAACAGGCAAGGAGTGGGAGGGAGGAAGAACCAGAGGAGAGGACAGGCAGGAAGCAAGAAGAAAGGACCTTGAGGAGGGGAAGGGGCTCCGGGAAGAGGACAGGGAAGTGGGGCTGGGAGGGGCGGAGGTCCTGAGAAAGGGACTGGGCAAGAGGGGAGCGGAGAGGGTGCAGGGGAGAAAGGTCAGCAAAGGGAGGTAGAAGTGAAAAGGAAGAAGCCAGCTATTCCTGATGAGTCCCAAATATTTCTCCCCACCCCCGCCTTTATAAAACTTAATTTTGCCCTTGTCATTCCAGCACCCAGGAGGCTGAGGTGGAACTGCAGCAAGGTGCCTGGGTTCCCAGGAGTTCAAGGCAAGCCCCCATCTCAAAAAATCAACAAGAAAATAAAGAAAATTAAAGTTTACTTTCACTTTTTTTGCTTTTAGATGAGGTCTCACCATGTTGCCCAGGCTGGTCTTAAAACCCCTGAATGCAAGTGACCCTCCTGTCTCAGCCTCCTGAGTGCTGGGTATACAGGCAGGCAGGCTCCACCATGCTGCTGGGGGTACTCGAGGTTTAACCCAGAGCCTTCACACTGAGCTCCATCCCCAACTCCCAGCCTTTTCTTTTTGGAGACAGGTTCTCAGTTGGTTGCTAAGTTGCCCAGGAGGGTCAAAAGTACGAGTCCACCCAGCCTGGGCAACTTATCAAAACCCTGTCTCAAAAAATAAAAAGGGCTGGGGATGAAGCTCAGTGCCAAGGCCCTGCCTGTGTTCAGTCCTCAGTTTTATACAGACAAGTGTGTGTGAGCTCGAAAGCATCTCACTCCCTTATGCAAAACCCTTCAAGAGGGGGCAGGAGATGTAGCTCAGTGGTGCTGCACTGGCCTGGCAAACTCAAGGTCTAAGGTCATTTGAATTTCCGGCACCCCCTCCAATCCTTGAAGAGCTTTAGAACCACAGATCTTAGCCTGGTACAGTGGCCTATGCCTGTAATCCCAGCTACTCCTAAGGCTGGTGCAGTTGGATTGCAAGTTCAAGGCCAGCCTGAGCAACTCTCTTAGTGAGACCAAAGAAAATGAATGAATGAATGAATGAACGAACAAATAGATCTTTCCCAGGGCTGACCCCTGTTCTGTGTGATCTTGCCACCCTGCGCCAAGCCTCTGTCCTGCTCAGATGTGGCTCCTGCACCTTCAAAGCTGATCGCCTCTTTCAGGTCTCCGCCCTCAGTTTTAGACGCCCTCCCGACCACTAAGCGCCTCCGCACCAACGGTCCAGAGCCACCTGCTGATCCCTGGGCCCTGGGCTCAGCCTAATCGGGTGTATTTGTTACAGGTCAGCTCCGCTAGAGGGCTCACTGTGGAGCCCTCCTCCCCAGGGACCCTCCAGCTGGTCAACCTCTCTGTTCTGGGAGGGAGGAGGGGAAGCGTGGGGGGGTGAGCAGGCAGGGAGCCGGTCAGGGGCCGGGGCTACCTGGACGATGTCCCGCTCTGCGAAGCGCCCCCGGGAGGACACACGCACATCGTCGCCGTCCAGCTCTTCCATTGCTGAAGAGAAGATGCCCTAAACTGGCCTCTCCAGCTGGACCATGCTGCCCTCCCTCTTCAGAGTCATGACAGCATGTAGGGGTTGTAGTGAAGGCCTACACCTATTAGACCTTGTTCTGGAGCTGTTATTTTTATTACGGGGGGGCAGGGTCTTGCTAGGTAGCCCTGGCTGGCCTCGAACTAAGGGTGATCCTCCTACCTCTGCCTCCAGAGCGATGGGATTACACGTGTGCACCACCAGGCCCAGCGTGTTTTATTACTGCTCTGTCCTTCCACATCCTCCATCCCCCCAGGAGTGTCAGAAGGAGAGGCTCGCTACCACCCAACTTGGTTAGGAAGAGGGCACAGTGCAGAGCTAGGGACTCAGGTAGCCCCCCAGGACATCTACCTTGTGTTCCCCAAGGCAGGCCCCAGTGCCCAGACCCAGCCTGCTCCCCAGGCCTCACCCCTCTCCTGGGCACCCCCAGCCGGTCCTACTCACCCTCGAACATGGCAGGTCCCACACCGACTATGATGATGGACATGGGCAGGGAGGAGGCCTGCAGGAGAGAGGGGTGGGGTGAGCTGCCATTCAGGGAAACCACCGTGTCACTCCAGACTTCCCATTCGTGAGGGACGTGTTTGAGTCAGGCAGCCCAGGGAGCTGCAGTGTCCCCTCACAGCCGCGGGCAGGTTGGTATTACCCAGAACCCTTTTCAAGTCTCCCACAGGGCACAGAGGGTGAGTGTGCCCGCCACCCACTGGAAGAGACCAGGCACCACCCGTGCCGCAGCCTGCAGTTAGGGCAGCGTCCTATGGGGACCAGCACTTCGGGATGGTGCAAGGGCTGGCTGGGTACTGCCACTACTGCTTTCCCTGGGGGTGATGCGGTCCCCTGCCACTGATGAGGAGTCCTGTGTCCTCCGCCAGCATCCAGGAAGCTGGTGGGCTCACTCACCAGGCTTCCAGAAGGATAAAAAACCCCTGCCCATCCCAGTACTGGCCGCAACTCCTCAGAGCAGCCTCCTTGGAGGACTCACGCTGACGATGGCTTCTTTGGTCTGTGTCATATCAGAGATTACCCCGTCCGTGATGATGAGCAGAACATAGTACTGGGAGCCATCAGAGATCTTGGCTGCGGCCCTGCACAAGAGGCAAAGGTCAGAGTCCAGCCAGGAAGGAGCGCAGGAAACACACTGGCCTGCAGTGCCCACAGGGAGGGAGCTAGGCAAGACCGTCACCAGCCCCTGGAGACACATGGGAGGAAAAGGCCAGGCCTCGGGCAGGAGACTCCTCACATTCAGTAAACCACACAAAAAGGCGGGAAATGACCACTGTGAGAAGGCTGTGGGGACTGCACCGCAGGGTCCTGAGCTGGTCCTAGAGGTGAGTGTGAGGAGAGGGCTCGCTGTGGATAAGAGCCCTCGGGTGGGAGGGAGCGGGGAGTGCCCCAGCCTCATCTAGAGATGGAACACGCAGGCAAGAGTGGGCCAGCTTGAAAGATCCTGATGTTTGCAGGCCTCCAGAACAGACCAAAGGCTCCCTCTCCCTGCTCTCCCCATCCACTGTCTCCTCCCTGACACCATCCATGGCCTGCACCCTTCCTCAGCTGGGCAGATGGACTGCGCCCCTAGGCCTCCTTTCCCCTCCTTCCCATCATTCCTGTTCTAGGTGTCGGTGCGGGGGATAGAACCCAGGGTGGGGCACATGCTACACAAATGCTTCCCACTGAGCTACACCCCGACCCCTTTTCAAAAAATATTTTGAGACAGGGTCTTGCTAAGTTGCCCAGGCCAGCCTTAAACTCAGCCTCCTCAACACCTGCGATTGTAGTTGTGCGCCACTGCACCTGAACACCCCCCTCAATTTTGAGTCCAGCATCCCATCTGAAGAGGACCTCATCAGGCAGGGTCCAGTCCTCTTATTTTATATAACCCAGGGAGGGCACAAGGGTGTTCACAGGCCTGAGTCTGTGACTTCCAGTCTGAGGACCCTTGGGGACTGGAGGGATGGATGGAGCTAGACTCTCCAATAAGGACACTGAAATTTAAGTCCATGAAGTTAAATGGAACCGAAGACTGTGCTCCTCAGTCACCCTGGCCACCTCTCACTGCTCAGTGTCACACAGGGCTGCGGCTGCCACACTGGACGGCACACATAGACCACCTTCACTGCTGGACAGCAGTCTCCAGAACAGTTCTAAGTCCTCCCACAGACCGGTCCCTTCCTGAGTTCTGGGCTCTCCTCAGAGACGTGGCCTGTGGCTTTATCTTGTCACAAGTAGTCCCTGCCTACCTGCTGTCTGCTGGCACCAGACTTGGTGCCAAGCTCGCAGCAGCGAGCAGGGTACTGCCCGAGGGGAGACAGATGCTATACCTCGCATGGTGTGACAGTTAATGTAGCGCTTGGAGAGGGGGTAGGCGAGGCATGTGTGTGAGTGTGTGCCTGCAAGTACACGGTGGGGAGGGAGACGCAGGGACCGGCATGTGCAGAGACGGTGTGTCCTAGGGAGTCACAGAAGAGCTGCAGAGGAAGGAGCAGAGCTGGGTGGGACCCTTGAGGGAGGGCCTTAAGCGCTTCCCGCACAGGCCTGGCATCCTGAGACTGGAAGGGAGGCATCTATGCTGGGCTCAGACAGGAGAGGCAACAACGGAGTCTTCTGTGATCCCCATCAGAGCACGGCAAGTGTGTCGGACGGAGTCCTCACTGCCACTCTGTGAGGTGGACAAGGTTTGGTTCATTCTTCTTTCAATACTGGAGATTGAACCTAGGACCTTCAAACTGCTAGGTCACAGACCTGCCTTTTTAATTTTGAGACAGGAGTTGCTAAATTGCCCAGTCCAGGCTCAAACTTGTGATTCTCCTGCCTCAGCCTCCCAGAGTGCTGGGATTCCAAGCCTGCAACCCACCATGCCCAACTGCTATTTTTCTTTCTTTTCAGTACCAGGGATCAAACTAAGGACCTTGCACTCTCAAGGCTAAATCCCTGGCTCCCAACTCCCATTTTTTTTTTTTTTTCTGGTACGGGGATTGAAGTTGGCTCCTTGTGCTTGGGAGCAAGTGGCGGAACCCAAAGTCCTATTTTTAAAATGAGAAAAATGTTCAAAGACATTGAGTAGCATCCCCTGGGGGTTATGAGGCTGGAGTCCAAGCCTTGCTTGACCAACTGAGCCCAAAGCCTCGCTCTCATCCTCTCCTCTCCACTTTGGCTCTGCCCCAGATATACCCAGCAGATCACACCATGTCCTGATTCAGCTGGCTGCCTCTGCTTCCTCCCATTGGGCAGTCCCTTCCCTGTCCTTCCTGTTGTCACACCCTGGGGGGTACTGAGGGGAACCCAAGGATACCGTGCCTCTATGGCACCAAACGGTCAACAGTACTTCTATAAACCATGACCACAGTTTGCGTGAGAAGAGTGTAAAATTGGTATGACTTTTTAAGATGAAATATGGAGACTTCAAAGATTTCATCAGCCTGGCAGCTTTCAGCTGTGGCCCCAGGGCACCCCCGGGGGAGGACAGGGACTTGCTAGAGAAGTCTGGGAAGCTCTGGCTACAGAGGGAATGTTTATTTATAGGTCTGTCTCCTGCACCAAGGCAAGAGCTCCCGAGGGCAAGCCCAGGCCTGATTCATCCATGAGTCTCCAGGGCCCAGAAGAGAGCAGGGCACTGGCAGCTGCTCTCTGAATAGTGGCAGAGGTGACAGAGTAACAGCAGCAGCTAAAGCTGACAGGGATCAGGATGTGGTGATGCTGCGTTAGGCAGGTGATGGTTGTCATCAGCCTCCTAATGGCCCTGAGATTCAGGTTTTTACAAATAAGGACCAGGTACAGCAGGGTTGACAGACCTGAGTGGCAGGACTGCTATGGGAGCAGGTTGGCTGCAGAGCCCCCGTTCATGCTGGCTGCTCCTTTATGGGTTGCTTGCTAGATGAATGGATAAATGGATTGGGTAGCTGCTACCAATATTTAAGAAGTCTGGTTAATGAAGATAAAAAGTAGACTCCAGTATTGGTGGGGAAAAAACAGTAATGAAATGTTATGTATAATATGACTGCGATTACAGAAGTATAAAGAAAACTAGCTAGGTGTGGTGGTTCACACCTATGGTCCTAGCACTCTGGGATCTGGGAGGCTGAGGCAGGAGGATCCTAGTCGGACCTTAGTTTGGGCAACTTGAAAACTTAGCCACACACACACACACACACACACACACACACACACACACACACACACACACACACACACACACACACACACACACACAAGGAAAAGACTGTCAAGAACTCTATATGTATCCATATCCCATGGGTAGTACTCAAGATGCTTTCCTCCCTTCCTTCTCAAGCTAGGGATTGAACCCAGAACTGTATAATATAGACAGCTAAGTTCAGACAGAGCTGGGCCCTCGAGGAAGTTGGTGCAGAAGATGAGAACACATCACAACTGTGGAGGCACAGCTGTCGAAGGCCAGGCCTGCATTCCTCCCCAGGGATAAACAATAATTTGAAGATTACACTATAATAGGTATCACCTGGTCCAATAAAGTCTAGATAGACATCAGTCTACCTGGGTAACCAGGACCTCCTGATCCCTTCATAAAAAGGTCTTTGTTCTTTCCAAGTACAGTTGCTATGTGACCTGCTTCCCCACTGGATCACTATTACCTAAGTGGCTATACTTGTTTTTTGTGGTGTCAGAGATCCAACTTGGGATCCAGGGACCCAGGCTTGCTTGTGCTTGCGAGGCAGGTGGCAGAACCACTGGGCTAAATCCCTGGCCCTATACTTGTAATCTTATTGGTTGATCATAGTTTTGACCCATGCTGTACCCAGCTCGTAATTTTGTATCTGTGATTTTGCCCGATAAAACTTCCTTTGAGAAGTGGGCTTGTTGGAAACCCACTTTTGGGTCCCTTTCTGTCTCTCAGAACTCACTGTGTAGCCCAGGCTAGCCTCGAACTCATGGTGATCCTCCTGCCAGCTTCCCGAATGCTGGGATTACAGGTGTGAGCCACCACGCCCGGCTTTTTTTTGGTTTCTTGAGGCAGGGTCTCACTATGCAGTTGCCACTGACCTGGAACTCACTATGTAGCCCAGGCTAGTCTCAAACTCACAGCAATCCTCCTGCCTCAGCCTATCAAGTGCTGGGATTACAGGCATGTGCCACCATGCCTGTTTTTCAGTTCATAAAGAACAAATTTATTTCTTAAATTTCTGGAGGCAAGAATCTCTTTTAAGGTTCATCATTGCTTATTCCATGTTTATTGATATATGCTTGGTTTTAGTTTTGTCATTTTATTTTCAGTTTACTTCTAATACCCTCTTTGTTTTGTTTCTTTGTGTTTTTTGAAGTAGGGTCTCACTATGTAGTCCAGGCTGGCCTTGAACTATGTAGCCCAAGATGGCCTTGAACTTGCAGAAATCCTCTTGCCTCAGCCTCCTGAGTGCTGGGATTACAACCACGTGTCATCATGTCCAGCTCTCTCTTTTTTTAAAAAAGTAATTTGATACATGACCTGTGCTTTGCACATCTTTTGAAGTCTGGATATTTTTAACCTGGCCGTTTATCGAGCACTTACTGCAGGCTAATGGGAGCTAACCTCTTACACTGCTCTCTGGTAACTGAGTTATCTAACCTGACAACAGCCTTCCACAGAAGGCTCTGCTTCCATTACCGCCTTTGGGGGACGCAGTAGAGAGCCAAGAAAGCTGAGGTGCTTCGGGTTTGTGTCAGTGAGCGGTGGCGCCAGGCTTCTGCCCAAGCTGGAGCCTTCTCCTTTGGAGGCCAGGCTCTTTTCTCTCTGCCGCAAACTCCAGGCCAGGCTGTCAGCCCAAAGGATCAGTTTGGGGGTCCACTCCCAAATAGCCTCTGTACCAGAGCTCGGCCGGAATAGGGCTTCTCTCTAAAAGCCACGGTGGTTCTGACTGTTGTGAGGAGTCTGTCCCAGAACCCTCCCCTTACCTGGCCACCTGGTTGATGACGGGCGCGAAGAAGGTGGGCCCATAGAGCTGCACGGTGCGCAGGCTCTGGAAGTAGCTCTCCAGCACCCCCTCGATGCCCGCGCAGTTGGGGTCCTCATCGTTGTTGTTCTGGGGAGGAAGACAGGCTGCCGAGTGCAGCCCAGGAGTCCACCCCTTCCTTCTCCCCGGTACCACTCCTGCTTCCTCCGAGCTGTTCTGCCGCCCTCGTCCAGCTGCCCACCCGTGGCAGCTCCGCCCACACCGTACCAGGGGAAACTGGTGGGAGACCCGGCCCTCGGGGGGCAGCTTGGCCCCGAAGCCATAGGCTGGGAAGAGCTTGTCGCTGTCGTAGTCCTGGATGATCTCCCCCACCGCCTTGAGGGCCATGGCATAGGCGCTGAGCTGGTAGGGGCTCACGTAGTGCAGGGACGTGGGCTGCAGAGGGTTCCCTGTGGGGACAGTGCCCATCTTCTCGCCTGGACCAGGCCCCTTCACCTCTTGCTGCTGTGTCCCCTCACCAGTCCTCTGCCTGGGGTCTCCCTACTTTCCCGCTGCCCCTCCTGTGTCTGTCTGTCTCTCCACCCTCCTGCCCTCTGTCTGTCCATTTGTGTAACCCTCTACCCACACACCTGTCTGTCCATCACCAGGCTGTACGTCCACCTCCCAATCTCCTTAGCCGACCCTGCCCTGCTCGTCTGCTGGCCATTTCTTTCTTTCCCACCTGTCCTTCCAGCCAGGTTACCTTCTCCTGCACCACCAGCCCACTCCACTCACGGATCTGTGCTCACGTGGGCCCGTTCACCCGAACGCTGGTCCGCTCCTTCTGCTTACCCACAGTCTCCCTGTGTGCACCCACGCGCCCGTCCCTGGATCCTCTTGTGCTGTACAGTTTACCATCCTCACTCAACCACCAGCTATGGGCTGCCTGTGCATTGATTCACCCCGGCGAAGTTCCCACACCCATCCATTTACCCCTCTCCTTCCAGTCTCTCCCTTCCATCCAGCCTGGTTCTGCCCACCTGTGGAGCGCAGTTACAGAGTAAACCATCTGCCTATTTGTCTTCCTGCACCCTTGTGGCCAACTTTGCGCTGATCCCTTCCCTCCCGTTGCTAGGAACACTGTTAGGCAGGAATGTAGCTAGGCCCATCCCAAAGACTCTTCAGAGCTCTCCCACCTCCCACCTCCCATCCTCCCACACAGGCCTCACCGTTGGAAGCTGTGAAGTCAATTGCTACCGTGAAGTTCAGCTGTGTCCTGTGGGAGAAGGGATGGGCTGAGCAGTGAAGGACAAAGAACTGTCACACTCCTCTCCTCTGCCCCCTGTCCTCTTCCG